TCAATCACCGTGAAATCTTGCGCATGCGCGTATATCGAATTCTTAGCAGGGATTTTCTCCTGGTCTGTGGACTGTGCATCTCTAATGTGTTCTGATAATATTCTAGATTAAATCACTGTGCCGCTGTGAGGTAATCTTAAAGCTGTACCCATTTGAACACGTGAAAGGTTGTTGTCTGTTGTTCGTTCAGTGGATGTGGAACGAATGCTTTTAGGATGGGTCGTCATTCACCGCGAAATCTTGCGCATGCGCGTATATCGAATTCTTAGCAGGGATTTTCTCCTGGCCTGTCGACTGTATGTATCATGCCTGTTTGTTTGAGACTCTATCAATTAAAATCAAAATAATACAGCAAAAGCACCGAAAAGAGACTTAAAATTCTGAGTTGCAGATAACGACACCGGCGGACAGTGTCAAATTCAAGAGTGGATTGATATTTGTTGAGAATAATGGTTCGACAGTTAAGTATGGCCAGCTCCAGTTGATGTTTTTGGAACAGACATGACAACATCGTCATTATTACCCATGATTCCAAGCGTACGGTCCGCAGATGGGCCGAGAATTACAGAACTTCTGATACTACCACGTTCACCGATTGTTAAATCGAAATTAGGCGGAAGTTAAGATGGGACTGACCTTGAAGACCTCCCACGTGGCACTGAAAGGTAGAACAGCGAGCCCCACCATGAGATCAGCGACTGCCAGGGACACGATGAAGAGGTTCGTGACGGAGCGTAGCTTGGAGCTGATGAAGACCGCTGCGATAACCAGGCAGTTTCCCACGATCACCATGACGTTGATCAGCAGGAGGACGACGAGCGAAGCGACCAAACTGGGATCATCCCAAGTGACCTGCTCCAACAGAGCAGAACACGCGCTACGGTTCATAACAAGTCTCTCCGCGCGTTCATTCAGATTAGGCCCGTATTTCTAAGTCTTCTTGTATTACACGCACGTCTTGAGAAGTTTCTAGCGTTTAGTTCTGTTTCACAGTTGTGAGAAGCATTTGCAGATTAAATATTCATTTCAACACACAAAGTTTGGGGAAATGGAATTCGATAATTTAATTGTTAAGTGCGGAATGATATAAGATATGACGCACTTCGGCGTGCTCTGGAAGTTTATAATATTTCGTCTAAAGTTTCGTAAATCTACCTTAAAGTCATTTATACTTGGGACGACATAGTAATTCAAAAATCAGGAACATCTCAAATACTTTCAGGCTTAATATTAGTTCAGTTATGGTCTTCTTATTCTTTACATTTTCATTCAAAACCTTTGTTTAGGATATTTTTGTTCCGGTCAAAGCCTGTCTCTTCCCTTCCGGTGTTGTTTTGTAGTAAACGGTGGATAAAACAGTTGATTTATAGTTGTAATCTTTATTAACACTTTAACACACGTTTGGACAAAATGTAGTTCGGTTTAGGATACGAAACATCTTATATGTCCCGCTACTCCGTTGTATAAAACGAGTTGAACATCAAATTTCAAGGATAAATCCCGCTAAGTT